CTTCTGCAAGTGACACATTCTGGACAGCTTCCCTATTGTAAAAAGTCTTTAACATATTCACGTGACACACCCGGGTCTTCGTTTTCCTACCTGGAGTTCCGATTACATAATCTGTAGTACTAAGTTTTCGTACCGCCTCTTATGGTCCAGAAAACTGGCCTGATAAAGAGGACCAACACTTGATCACCCCTATTAAATTTACAATCATATAGACCCTTCTTCTTACACTGAGCTACTTCAAGTGACTCTCTTGCCACGGTACAAGCTTGATGCAAGCGCTCACGGAACTTACTCACGTAATCCAGCATGTTCATTTTCGGGCTAAACTCAACAGACAACAGATTCTCATTGAGCATTTTCAAAGGTCCTCTGGCTGTGTGTCCGAATACTAGTTCAGCAGGACTGAATGGTACACCCTCATCCCACTCTTCCCCTGTTGTCATACAGTACTTTCTGAGCATTGACTTTAACGTTTGATGGAAACGTTTGAGTGCCTCCTGGCTTTCAGCATGATAGGCACTTGCGACGCTATGGGAAATATTTAAACTGGACAACACAGAAAATTGATGCCTTGATCTGTCTGCACAATTTTTTGGTAAACAAAATGTAGAAAAAAAAAATAACAAGTGCTCTAGTTAACGACAGTTGCTCTAGTTATCTCAATGGGTCAATAAAAACTGATTACCGGTCTTAGACTTAGGCAAAGGGTCGACACAGTCAATGATAACATGCTCAAAGAGTTCTCCAATCACTGGAATAGGAACAAGTGGAGCACATGGAATGAATTCCGTTTGCCAGTGATCTGACAGACACAAATGTCTCAAAATTCGGTGATAAGTTTTCTTCATTTCTAGATATCCCAACAGGTCGTGATCATGAGCTAAAGATGGAATATGCTGTCAGTAACATGAGGGAATCATCTCCATTCAGCATCATCTGCAATCTCCGAGCACCATTTACGCATCAACAAATCGTCCTCAACGAAATATGCAGCTTGTCTCTCTTGAGCTTTCTATGGAGTTTTACAGTAGTAGTATCTGGAACATGCACATTTTTAACAGTTTTCCATATGCATTTGACAAACAATCACATTTCATTTAATAAAATGTATTACCTGAATGAAATGAACTTGAATCTATCGTCCTGTGGAATCATTCATTCACAGACAGCATACGAAGATGTTCAACTAGATCTACATCGCTGGCAAAAATATGATGCATTTGCAGATTTGCTTTCAGTAGACTAAACTGTAGGTCCACGGCCACTTCATTCAACACTCTCGATATTCTTAAATCTTCCTCTTACGACTGAGTCGAGTGTGAATTAAAGCGCTTCAGATTCAGTGCTTGCAGGAAACTGAACAGATCATTCAAACTGATTCGTGAACTGATTTCTACAACTTGTTTGATGAAGTCTTTGAACAGAACCGACTCAAAAGAGTGATTAATTTGTAAATTAACCATCGCTCATGCCCATAAAAAGATACAGTGCTCTTGGAATAAACTACGCATTTAACAACATATTCCATTAAAATAAAGTAATCAGAGGAGCGTCGCTCAGCGTGACAAAGTAAATGTAGCCTACTTTGTAACTACCATAGACAGTAAAGGTTACTTATCCACCTCTGTTAATGGTCACGACAATGATCTTCTTCTGTTGTTTGTCTTAGATCGCGCAGTTGGAGGTTTCATTCAGAGAAACCTTTGTCGCCGACAAGGAAGTACACTGCTGCGAGATCTGTGACATTAAGCGTGTCAATTATGCCACATTGGTATTGCGTAAAAATATAACGATATTCGAAAAGCAATTTTATGATCGAATTTCGAACGTGAATATCGAATATTCGAATATCGCGACTCATTCCTATTAGGGAGACTAAGAAAACATGCAGTGTTGGGTGTTTACATGGCCGTGTGTGACCAGGTTATATATTCCGGATTTGAATAGGTTATTGGCTGCTTGTAAACCTAGTCAATACAAAAAACTGACTTGCTCTCTCGTCATCTTGCCTAAATAATTGATCGCAGGATTTTAGATTTAATGTTACTGTAATATTTTGTTTGTGTTGCTGCTATGCTGATAAACTCAAATCAATATTTACTGTAGGCCTATACATATGTATTTATTTCGGTGTGTAGCTGTGTAACTTGACAGCTAAACTAACTGAAGCCTGCTGGACATGTTGAACACTGATGCGTATGCTTACAGTGGTTCAGAAAAGTAATAGCGGCGTTAAATATCTCTCGGGACAGACATTCAAACATTTAAGGACATTAAAACTCTGTTTGCTGCATTTAAGGAGATGCTAGAGAAAAAGGCTCTCTAAAAGGTGAATAGGAGGTGAGTAATGTTTCACTTAACCCCAGTTAATTAAATGTATCTCACATCGGCTGTCATGCTTAAACACTCGGCTAGAAAGCTCAGGAATAAACATGGCAGGCCACTCTGCCAGCAGCAATCACTATTTGAGGCAGCGAGCAAGAGCTTTTAGCTCGTGTGACCAGCATTTGAATCCAACCCTAGTCATTCTGTGACATATAATCAAGATCTGCTATTGATCCTACGTACGTTGATTTCTTTTGGCTCTGATGTTGTTATAACACCCGTACTATAGTACTCACTCTGGAAATCGATTTGGATGTGGAACATATTAAGAGGACAAGGGAATTACCATTACCATTGGAATAAGAATCAATTTGTGAATAAGGGTTGTTACCTCATTCACTTGCACTTTGTTTAATCATTGTTTGTGACTGCAAAAAAAAAAAAAAAAAAACATGAGATGCGAACATTATCTCGATCAATAATGATGCTGAGGGTCTCGACCGAATAACAAAATAATTGGTCACTCTTACTGTGAAAAATTGGGTGGTAAAATTTCCATTATGGTATTTCTTTTAACAACTTTGTCCTGTTGCTCAGACTGTTGAGTGTTGGTGCTTGCAACACTAAGGTCATGGGTTTGAATCCCAGGGAAAGCAAGAATGAGTAAAAATGTGTACCTTGAAATGCAATATAAGTTGCTTTGGATAAAACATCTGCTAAATGCATAATTTATACATAATAATTTGCTAAATGCAAATTATTATTTGTTTTTCCCATTATTTTTATTTCCCCAATAACCTAATAGTTATGTTGGCATCTTTATTAACTCAACTTTTGATTTCATCATTTAATATTATACGCAGTCTAATCATCTATATACAATCACGACCTGACCGAGCAAGACGGGATATTATTTACATTTAAATTCAGCATGTACCGACAGTTGCGATAGTCTTTTCTTCCCTATTGTGCCATATTTAAGTGAAATAGCTTCTCGAAAAAAAAAAAAAAAAAAAAAAAAAATAGTAGAGCGGGACTTGATTTTCTTCAATGGAAGTTTATTGGATTGTTGTGAGACACATGAATTTAATGATGATAGTGATGATATTAATAAAATACCATGTGCATAAATAAAGCATAATAAGTACTGCAATCTTCCATAAAAATAAATACTGTCATCTTTGATTTCATAGCGACAACACAAGTTATGTCACAAAACTTTGTTCAGTAAAATTTTACTATGAAAATGCTTCTAATGTAGAAAAAACACGACAATATATTTTATTTTAATCCGTCAAAATTACAAACAGCATTTTTGATAGACTACTGAGAATGCACTAGTTAAGGTTACAGTGAGCCTTTGAATTGCAAAATGATTACGTTTCAAAGCACTCTAAGCTTTGCACACTTAAAGGTGATATATGTATTTTTAGCAGCCTCTATCGGTGATGTTTCAGATTGCAACCAATTTTTACAAGAGCGCTCGTGCTCTTGCACGTGCTCAAACACAAGAGCAAGCTCATGGTACATAGCTGCACTGAGACTTTCAAAACACTAGAGAAAACATCACACAGCATGCTGGAAACTCATGTAAACTCTCACTGCAACATTACAATAATAGGCTACTTATCAGCTTGACATGTTATTGTAAATGTTACTTACAGCATCCAAAATAAATGCAAACATGTTTTTTTTTTTCATGATCTACTCAAAACCCCAATAGCCTATATGCTGTTACAATAAGAAACTCTTTACATTAAGGTAGTAGCCTAGTGAGAACAGGTTGTTGGGAAATCACTTTTTCATCAAACAGCAGTTTTTGCAAGTTCCCGCAATTTCATTGCATAAAATTGCATAAATATGCCGCATATTCCATCGCATAAAAGAAATTGTGCCGCGTAATCAAGGATTTTTGATCCTTGGCGTGCCGTACCGTACCATGCAGTGGAAAAGCGCCATTATATGAATGCAACGAAAGCATGTAAAATCACATGTTCTGCAAAACCAATTCTAAATCTTCTGAGCAACTCTGATTCAATCCGACATCAAACATTTAGATATCAAACATTTATTCAATACAAGTCAGATGTAAAATACCACTGCATAGTTTTCTTTTTATAAATAAAATATAGATTAATCTTTATTAGTTACAAAAGTAATTCAGTCAAGATCAGTGAGTGTTTTTCTTTTTCTCTTTCATGTCTTGTTGCGCTTGAATGGTTTAAACCCATTAAAATGTGTGCACAGGAATCGATAGGTGGAGTCAAAATTGTAATTTCATAACACGTATCTGATTCCATATTGGGAATCAAGTTTCAATTCTCAACCCATGTATTCTTTCATTTATTTTTTTTCATCCATTTTTGATAACAGTCTGATGACATGATGACAGTCTGTCCAGTCCTTAACCCAGACCTGGTGAAGAATGCCATTTTAGCCATGTTTACCAATGCAAGCATTTCTGTTAATTGCACAGGCATGTTATATGCAAAGTTTTGTGTGAAAGGCTACGTGTTTGATCTTTTGTGAATAGAATATTGCAGGCCCTGTGGGATACACTCCACAAACAACAAAAGGATTACAGTAGAAGAAACTGGTGTTGCATCTTGACAAGGGCTGCAGTGACCTCCAACATGCTGTATGTAACTTATTTGCTTTGATTATTTTTTTTATAGGGAATCAAAGGAGGATCAAAGGCGATTCTACAATGTCAGGGTTGCTGATGTTGCCATTTACATCGCTTTCAATTCAGCACTGCTCATCCTGCTTAGCTTATTCATAAGGAGTCGCTGTCATCGTGACGATCGATTGGCTGCAATGATAATGAATCACTTCTTTTGGCTGCTTCCACTGGTCTTTCCGCACCTGAGCTCTCCAGTCATATTGCTAGAGAGGAATGATGGGAATCTCTTTCACAACTGGAACCATCTGATGGAAGGAGATAAAATGGTGCTGCACAGATCCAAAAGAGACTGGATGTGGAGGCAGTTCTTCCTGTCGGAGGAATACACAGGAAGTAACTATCAGTATGTCGGCAAGGTGAGAGTCCATGATAACACGAGCTCGGAACGACTAGCAAAACAGGGCCTGGAGGAGATGCAAATGCCTGATTTTTGCATTCCTCTTTCGTTTTCCTGATCTTAATATGGTTTGACAGTGGATTTGAACACGTTGCTGTGTGGCAGGCACTTCGCAAAACTTGATGCCATCATCAAAGAACATAAAATAGCGCAAATATGAATTACACACTCACTGAGGCATGAATATTCACATGATCACATCCCAGAGAGACAGAAAGCGAATAAGAGTGGGAGAGAGTAGTTTCAAGACAGAATACTTTGTACCAGGGTTTAGTTTTTTACCGCTCTCATTTCCAGGACAAAGTGGCTCCGCTGAGACCTGACAGGAATCAACAATTATGGGCCATTTCACTCACTCTTTTTCATTCCCCCCATTGACTTCCAACCCATCTGCAGTGGCTGTGTGAAGGAAGGGACTGCAATTCATCAAGTCGCAGTTCAGAGGCATGCTATATTTATGCCACATTAAACATGAAAGAGGAGTCCATACTGACATTCAGCCGCACAGCCTCTGTTATTAAAACACTGACTGTGTTGTATACGAAGAAACTTTGGAGGACATGTATAGAATACGGCAAATAGGTTTAAACCATACGATTTTTATTTAAATCTTTATTGTTTGGCACTGCTAATAATCCCACCATAAAATAGTAGCCTTCTTTTTCATCACTTAAAGCCATTGCACACCGAGTCCGAAATTCGCATCCGAAATTTTCGCACGTTAAAAAAAAAATTCGACCTCACGTTATGTCAGTCACGCTTGCACACCGCCTCCGAAACTTTCGTCCGTCATAAAATTAATCGGATCGGGTTCGATTTTCTGCGTTTTTCGCATCCAGAGCCAGCATTTTGAGAGGTCTTTTGACAATTCAGGGCCGGGGGGAGCTCGTCCTCAAATCATTGCACATATGCGCCGTGCTTTCAGTTTCGGTTTTCAATTCGATCAAGTGTTTATGTTCTCTTCTCTATATTGGATTATAATTAATAAACCTCCCCTTTCATTCAGATTGAAATTTAGGATCGAATAAGGTGTGATTGAGCAGCCTATTCGATAACTAATGTATTATTTGGGCACAATACAGTATACACAATAACAGCCTAGCTGTTCTGTCTGCCCAGCGCTTCCACCGGGCCGCGCGCGGGTGTGTGTGTGTGTGTGTGTGTGTGTCCATATCCATACCTGGTCCATTTCAGACACACTGCCAGTCTCCGTTCAGAATCGATTGGTTCACAGAAATTGGTGGTCTTGTTTTTAATATGTTGCTCCTGAATCGCTAGCAAAGCATCGAACTGTCCCACTGACATTCTGAGGTAAATTTTGAATCGCTCAGGATAAATTCGCAACTCCTTGATAAGGAACTCTCCTTCCTCTCGGCGCAATTTCAGGATTGGATGGACGTAATATTTTCTCTTTCTTCCCTTTTCAATAAGAGAGAGGGCAAAAATCATCCTCACTGCTTGACGAATCCATTCGGTATTTTTGCGTTTTTCCCCGCAAAGGTTTAAGAAATACGCAACGGACTCGGTGTGCAAGGTTTCTATGCGTGACGAATTTTTAAGCTGACGAACACGAAAATACGCATACGAATATTTCGTGCTCGGTGTGCAATGGCCTTTAGTCCAAAGGCTAGCTGTGCACATGTACACAACTGGAATGTGTCTACTAAACTTTGGGCACGTTCACTTGGATTAAGTGGACTTGATAGGGTAATTACTATATTTGGCTAGTGCAAGGAGACAAGTGAGATGTGAATCAGAGGGAGTAAACTGCAGTGCAAAGAGAACAAGTGTGCATCGACATATCTTGCCCGTCAGTCATTGTGAATAGGAGTCAAGAGTGCATTGTTTTTATTCAGGTTGCCCACATCAGATGCATGTAGTAGCCTATAATCATGAATTTAGGTTACGATTTGATCAGATAAAGGGAGTTTTTGTTTCATATTGAGTAATTTGCCGATAAAATTTGCAACACGCAAAATGTCACTCACCTGTGCACTAATACTGCGACTTCGGATTCCGTTGTAATGTAACGTTATGGTTATGCATCACAGATCATTGACACCCATTTGTTTTTTTTTTTCTGTAGAGATGTCTCACTGAAATCGAATCAATTGGACCATTTGCATTGCAAAATGATGCACTCTTTTGAAACGTTCTAAGCTCCTTCTACTGTTTTTTTTTTGTTGTTGTTGTTTTTTTAATGGAGGTTTGCAAAAAAAATTTTAATATGCATTACTGCTACCTTCTGAAATGAGAAGGGTATTAGACAGTAATAGACAGCAAAATAAGCCCCCTCTATGGGGTTCTCCCTTGACCAAGGGTGTAATCCATCAGCTGGAAGTTGAAGCCTCACGGGAGCCGCCATTGTGGCAGAACCTGCTGTTAGCATTCCATTGACTCCCATTCATTTTGGCATCACTTTGACAGCGAACAACTTTACATCTGAGGTGTCCATAGACTCCATTTTGTCAGTTATTTACTTCTAAAGAAACATGACAATGTATAAAAGGCTTCATAACCTTGTATCTTACGTTATGACCCCATAGAAGCAGTTTTTGTATAAATAGGCTAACGATTGCATCATAATGACAGGATGAGAAGCTTGCGGGCAATCGGGGGGAGGTGGAGGCATAAAGTTGAGGGAGAAGCCCATAGAGAGTCATAAAGTTGATCCTGCTGCTAGCTTATGGACAGCTAATACTCACTCACTCTATCTCTGTGAGATCCAGAAGTTAATTATTCATATTTCCCTCAGCACAGCTAGAAGACATACAGTCTGCTCACGTGACACCTGGTGATCAGCTTTTAATGTGCTTCAATTTTCTCTGTTGAAATCAATGGGGTCGCTGTGTCCTCTTCTTTTACTGTCTAAGGTAGGAACACACTACTGTCCGAAATGGAGTGTGGATAAAAATTCCTAGACGGTTCAATCGCATGCTGATGACATCTGGTGGTAAATGCAACAAAAACATAAAACGTAATATAAAATATGTAGTCTTTTAATAATTTTGGTAGCGTAATACCAAAGTCCTTTTAGGATATATAAATTGTCTCTGGTACCAATGGAAAAAAACAAAAAAAACAACAACTATGGTGTAGGTTAGGCTAACAAAATTTAATAATCCTCGTTTACTCAAATCGCATGACTTGGCCAGTTTGTATGAAACAGAAACAAAATTAATCATATATATATATATATATGTGGAAGTAATATGAACAAATTACATTGTTTAAGTGCACTGTAACATTTCTAAATTTATGCAGTCAACACTGTTTAGGGACCTTGAGGATCAGCTTTTATGTTAAGGCTAAAAAAAAGCTGCTTTTGTAACATTTTGCTTCGTGGTGATTTCCTATGTAATATCAGTTAGTGCTGATTATATAAAGTGTTTGTTATGAGATCCTGCTGACACACTGAGTGTGTTTGAGGGGTCAGGAGGTGGAATCAGACCACTGGCTCTTTCTAAAAACAGACTTCAGAGCCCAGGATAAATGCATTAAATGGCCATGACTCTGGCCAGATGCTGGACTGAACTCATAAACGCATGAAACAATTGCTTATTAGATTTTTTTTTTTTTTATTCACTGAAGCCTGTTGGAACCCATAGTCTCATCCCACAGGTTAAAATTTAATTAAGCATCAGGCGGTGACAGTTGAACAGCTTTAGGGTAAATCAACCCATTTAAGGGAAACTAAATGACCCAACCGGTGGGATGTATCAGGGTTATTTTTTCAATTAGGGGATCTTTTCTGTCCCCTTCTGACTTTAAAGAAAAAAAACAAATAATATTCAATAAAGTCAGTGACTTTTAACTAAAAGCCTATTTGAGAGTATTGACATTACAATGTTCTATTTTAGACTTGTTCTTATACCAAGACTTTTAAACTTTCCTTCATAAATAAATAAATAAGATATAGAGTTATTGATTTTGTTTTATAGCAAGTTACCAACAACCATTCATTTGAATGTTTTACTAAATAGAGGACAGACATGAGAAATGGTGGTAGGATGACAGTGTGGGCAAAGATAAAGGCCTAACATTTCATATTTTTATAAATGCAAATGGAAATGCAATAAAAACGCAGTGGTAAAATCGGACTAAAAGCTTCATTAGTATTTAATGGAATATGTTCTGAAGACTGGTACTTTTAAGACTCTTTCTTTAAGACTCTGTCTGTGGCTTTTATGAGTTTCTATTTCCCCTAGAGAGCTTTTCCTTCAAAAGATTCCACTTCTAAGCTGTTAACCATGATCGAAAACAAGACAAGCTGAAGTTCACTGGTTAATAAAACATGGCAGCATATCATATTAACATTTTACTGAAGGAAGAACTTCATGCGTGTTTGATTTAAAAAACAAAATCCACAAATGATGTGGCAAATTTCACATCTGTGCATTGCGACATGGTTAAGTCACTGTCTTCTTTCTGTCCATGCAGCTTCGCTCAGACAAAGACATAGGGGACGGAACTGCCAGATATGTTCTCTCCGGAGAAGGAGCAGGCACAGTATTTCGTATCGATGAGAAGTCTGGGGATTTACATGCTACACAGAGACTGGACAGAGAGGAAAAGGCCTCTTACACACTGCAGGCACAGGCTTTCAACAAGATCACGGGCCTCCCCCTGGAGCCTGCCACTGAATTCATTGTCAAGATACATGACATCAATGACAATGAGCCCAAATTCACCAGGGCTGTCTATTCTGCCAGTGTACCCGAAATGTCAGATGTCGGTGAGTGAATGAAAATTACTTTTTCTCCTGTTGTTGTTATTTGAAGTGCATTTACTGTCATGCTGGAATACTGTGTGTGATATTCCTGTCACTGCAGTGTTTTTAAGGTCAAGAATGGCTCACTGCTATTGGTTTTTAGAGGCTTTAAGAGTTTTTGAAGCATGTATTGTTATGGAGTATGACATTTAAACAAGTGCGCTGAACTTTCAAAACGTTTTGTTTGGCTTAGATTTAAGTCTTTATCATATTACAGTAACTTACAGTTACTCAACATTTTGTTTATGAATTATTTTATATTTTGTTTTACGAAAATTGTGTGTGCCCCTGAATTTAAAAATGAAAAGACATAAATAATGGTATATATAGTCCCACATGAGTTATTAAAAACTACATAACCCACGCCAGGCTTATGTACTGACATTTTCTATTTAATACTTGGTGTTCGTTGCACATAAGTCAATAAAAATATGTATTGCAAATTAAACTAGTGCCATGGTTCTGTCAATCATCAGAAATTACCATATTACCTAAAAGTAGCAGTTTTCTAGGAATGTACAGTTAATAATATGTACTGCAGGTAGTCAAATGCAAATTGTAATCACTAAAAGCAGAGCCAGAAAGGATCTGCCTCTCCTGAGTCCTGATGTAGTGTCTAATGGAAGAGATTCTATTTGCTCATCTTATCACATTTTCTATTTACATCTAATTCCCATTTGCACATCATCTATAACCACTGTCTCACACAATCAGTGGCTCTGTGCTAGCAGTGACACTGCACCATACATATTCACAGCGCATGAATATTCAGGAGATTCACGCTGTTTCTCAGTAATATCATAATAACCTCTGGTTATCCCGTTTCCAATCAAGTCAGTCCTCAAGCAGTGAAGCAGTCTGTTTGGTATCATCTCCCCAAAGAAAATCTAATGGTGTTCTTCCTTCTCTCATATTCAGCTGGAATCCAATATAAGGGACTGTACATCGTATTTATGAAATTGTTGCCCTCAATCAAATTGAAAGTGTCATCATATTATGAAGCACTCATTACCCTCTGACACACAACCTTAGGACAAAACCAATTCCATCTGGATTTTCTAATAAAAGGAATGGTGGTAAATCTAGAGGCACGCCTTTGAACCATGATGAATGCTAATAATTCAGTTCTGAAAACAAAACAATGACCCAACTATTGACTTTTTTGAGTACCCCCTTTTTGAGAGCTTGGTTCTTCACCTTTGAGAAATTTAATTTAATGTAAATATATTACCAAACACATACTAAGTTGACTGCATCTACTTCACTGCTACCCAAAGGAATATTGCATTGGTCTTTCATAGTTCTACAGACCCAGTTATGTTCTCAATTATGCTTGATTGAAATATGAACCTCTCAGATGCTTATGAATTCCTTAATTTAAATAAATATTAGCATGCAGTGTGGTGATACAAAATATTAGAGTTCATAGTGAATTTATTTATTTCCGATTGCAGATTTTGGCAAAAAAAAAAAAAAAGAAAAAAAAAAAAGATTTTGGCAGATTTTTTTTTTTTTTTTTTTGGGGGGGGGGGGGGGTGGGCTGTGTTGGCATAAAAGAGAAGCAGGACACTTATTTGAACATCTCCATACCTCCATTATCAAAACTCATTGAGGTTTTTACTTATTTCTAGGTACTTTTGTAATAGAAGTCAATGCCACTGATGCAGATGATGCCACATACGGGAACAGTGCTAAACTCGTGTACAGCATCCTACAAGGGCAGCCCTACTTCTCTGTGGATCCGGAGACAGGTGAGTCCTCAAAACATCTTGTTGAAAAGATATTCTCTGCCGACAAACTACCATGATGTATGCCTGAGGCCATTTGACAAGGAAAGGCAAAGCTGTTACTTTTTATGTGGAAATTCTGAAGCATGAAGATCACACACTGCTTTGCCTGGTTAACAGATCCAGCTAGAATATTTGCTTTGCAAAAAAATGGAATAAATCTTTTTTTGAAATGGAACAAATTACTCTGCTAGGCTTGGATTATTGCTTTTACTGAGAAGAATACAAGTTAAGCTTGATAAATGTAGCAATAAAGGTTACGGATGCAAAATATTAAGATTAAGGCATAATCGCACGCCCAAGCAGGGACAGAAAATGCTGGCCCTTTTAAAAAAGGTATAGCGCTATAAATCAAATAAATTAAAAAAATATAAATTATAATATAAAATGAAAAACAGATGTATAAAATTATGTTTTATATTCAATAAGTTCCCTGGGACTGAAAAAATAGCCTTCCTGTATTAAACTGTGAAAAATGTGTAGAGAAATTAATAAATGCACATGTTCTTAGAACGAAAAGGCAGAATCAGAAAATAAGCATAAATTTAAAAGTGTGTGTGTGTGTGTGTAGCTACTCAAGTCTTCTGATTTGGTGCTCTAGAATTTTTTTTTTAAACCGTAATGCATATTTTTTTTCAGGATTTTTTGATGAATAGAAAGTTTTATACATATGCAAATGGTTAATGGTAATTAGTAAATAAATGATTAATAGATGGTTAATCAGTGTTTTTTTTTTTTTTTTTTTTTTTTTTTTTTTTCGTGCAGGAATTGTCAGAATAGCCCTTTCCAGTATGGACCGGGAAGTGCGGAAGGAGTATCAGGTTGTTATTCAGGCCAAAGACATGGCAGGACAGATGGGGGGTCTGTCTGGAACCACCATGGTCAACGTTACCCTTACAGATGTTAATGACAGCCCGCCACGTTTTGCTTACAGTATGTCACTAATTCATAAGTGCTTTTAAAGTCAAAGTGAATTGCAACCCATCTACTGTTTGAATTGATTTTCTGGCATATTCTTCTTTATCTGTGAATTGTATTTCTGACTTATTTCCAAGAAAGATGGCATATTTAACAAGAAAAAGTGCAGTGTGGTACTGATTGTGAAAATTGTACATTAAACAACATAAAGGAATGTGAGTTTACTGAAATAATATATATTGCATAAGTTTATTAAAATATAATGAACTTTTTGTTTGTCTTAAGATTACCATGAACCAAATGCTTTAAGTAATTAAATAGGCTCAATGTTGACTTTAAAAGCCATACAAGCATTAGATGGGTAAAGAAATACTGCATAAATAAATGTAACCTTTTCTTTTTAAGGTTCTTACCACCTAAGCACTTATGAGTCGGCAGAAATCGGATCAACTGTGGGCAGAATAAAAGCCAATGATGGTGATGAGGGAGAAAATGCTGAAATGAAATACAGAATTGTAGAAGGAGACGGCAAAGAATATCTAGATATAATTACAGATGAGATATCCCAAGAGGGTGTTATCGTTGTCAAAAAGGTAAAAACTTGTATCAATATTTATGAATAGGTAATGATGTATAACAATGTGCAAATATGTACAACCACGCTTTTTGATCTTCACCAGAAACTGGACTATGAAAGCAAGCGCGTGTACACTGTAAAAGTGGAGGTGACTAACACACACCAGGACCCCAACTTCTTTCATCTGGGCCCATTCTCTGACACAGCTATCATCAAGGTCACAGCCAAAGATGTCGATGAGCCTCCTATCTTCAGCAGGCCTCAGTATGTCTTTGAGGTCAATGAGGACACACCAAAAGGAACAGCGATCGGAACTATTACAGCTTGGGACCCCGATGCCATAAATTTCCCAATTCAGTGAGCACTTGAAATATTTAATAATTCAATACTAACTGCAGGGAATTCACCAAAGTGGTTTGCACCTGCTGGCAGTTTATTTACGCACACTGTCTGCACAGCACCTGAATCATTAAATAAATTATGCAAATCAGATAACGGCACAAACACGCCCCAAAACAATCCGTTGAATGCAATTTGCATGCAGCAATTCTCAGTTTTGCATCTTGATTCTGCTTGTAGAAGGTACAGCAGATTACAGGGATCTGACATACTTTACTGGGGTTACATTGCTCCAGCGCCTGAATCAAGTCTTTAAAATAACAAAAAGGCACTTGACTGTAAAATTGCAAACACACACACACACATATATATATATATATATATATATATATATATATATATATATATATATATAAATGGGCATATGCCAAATTTACGTTTTTTTTTTCTTCTTCATTTGATTATCATTTGATGAATAATTGCTGCCATGATGTCTAGAAAATGTACACAAACCATTAGTGCCATTAGAAACCATTAGTAACTTGATTTAAAGGGACAATGTGTAGGAATTTCTCCAATCAAGCGGTGAAAATGTATTTTGCTTTCAAACGAATTGTGCACTCCAGCGCTTTTTCAAATGCGCGTTGCATCTAAGGTAGCCTTTGTGTACCAAAAAGCTATGAAAGGATGTCTTCTAATAGCACTTTGTCAAGTGTTCCTTCGGGTGAACAGGTTTGTTATTTCAAACAAACTGTAACTTGACACAACGAACATACGAATGTTACAGTATGAATTACTAACTGTACAAAACTATTGTAATAAGTAGTTATGCCTTCTTTATTAATTATCTTTTCTGAAGTACACGTGTGCATTGTTAGATATCATCATCAACTTTTAACTATACATGTTCATCTATCTATAAAATAAAGTACACAACCAAACAATAAAAAAAAAAAGGTTGTAATCAAGACTGTAATGTTGACTTACCTGTAGAGAAGAAAGCAGGACTTGAAATATTTCTCCCGCATTAGCTCTAATCCATTCGGAAAAAGTTATGATATTAACTCGTGTTTTTTTTGTAATCTCACGTTTCCTTTACCGATCTATTTTCGACATTTCTGGTGACAAGCGCCTCTCACTGCTCTGCTCCTCCATTACTTCTGCTTTCAGTTACGTCATGCTGGCTCTGAACGAAAACGTGTTTTGGTGTTTTTGTCCCTCTGCTATTATAGTTTTTCAAGATGGCGGAACTACATGGAAGATAATATAAAAGACATATAAAGAATATATATACATATAAAGATAATCAATTCTTCATTTACGAGGACAAGTCAGATAATTGGCAGAGGTATTTGTACTACCATTGAAGATATATTTATGAATAACAATATTGATTTTAAATAATAAAATAGATAAAAAGTATACATTGTCCCTTTAAGTCTAATTTACATAGAAAGATTTGTGCACAGTGAAACAAATGGCAATTTAAAAAAACACATGCCACAGTACTATATATGCAAATAGCGCATAGTGAAACTGGATTGTGGGTGGCTAGAAAATGAGATGCAGGTTTTTGCACTGAAATATAATACAAAAATGGGGTGAAAACTGTGTGGTGAATTTGCTCCAGTGAGTTTAATTTAGTTTACAGTACAGTATATAGTGTTGGAGCTGGTTCCAAAAATGTAAAAATACTTTAAAAAGGTTGCATCGTGAGGTTCAAATTTTACTATTTATTAAACCTGCCCATAGATATGCCGTAGATCACCACACAGACCCAGAGAGACTCTACCACATCGACCCCAAGAATGGATCCATCACAATTCTTAAGTCTCTTGACAGGGAGGTGTCAAAGTGGCACAACATCTCAGTCCTGGCTAGTGAGATGAGTAAGTAAATGCATGCATGAAGAAATAGCATTGCCTGGTGACGCATCACATATACTGTATATATGATGTGTCACCAGGCTATTTATTTAAACCAAAATATGTATGAGAATGAAAATATCTTTCCTGGCTATTTTACACTCTGTTGCTCTCGTCAGATAACCCTCATCAAAGAAGCCGTGTTCCTGTTTTAATAAAAGTTTTGGATGTGAATGACAATGCCCCAGAATTTGCCATGATTTATGAGACATTTGTGTGTGAAAAAGTCAAAGCTGGGCAGGTATGTACAATCTCTGTATGCTTTTGACTGTGTGACCATGACATGGAATTGTTGAATTATTAAAATGGTTGTAAACAGAACACATTATTCTGCATATTCAAAAATGTCTTCCATTTCAGCTCATACAGACTATCAGTGCCATCGACACAGACGAACCTCTTGTGGGTCACAAATTTGTATTCAGCTTGAGTTCGATGAATCCAAACTTCACCATATTTGATAATGAAGGTGAATAAATCTTTCCTTTGATGGATAAATCTTGAAGCTTATGGAAAACGCATGTTTAATCTTTTTTTCTTTCTGTTTTGGCACTTACAAAAACAGCTTTATTTTTCCTGTTGTTTGACTCAGCATGTGATAATATCTCCAGCTCTGACTGTTTGAATGTTCTCTTAACCCCCACCTCTCCTAAAGATAACACAGCCAGAATCCTGACCAGAAGAAGTGGATTTAACAGGCGTGAAATGAGTGTCTACTATCTGCCAGTAGTTATCTCCGACAGCGACTACCCCATCCAGAGCAGCACCAGCACTTTGACCATTCGTGTGTGCAGCTGTGACGCCACCGGCAACATTCGTTCCTGCAGTGTTGATGCGTTGCTGCTCTCTGCTGGCCTCAGCACTGGGGCGCTAGTGGCGATACTTCTCTGCATCCTCATCCTTCTTAGTGAGTTTTCACCCACTGACCGTACTGTATACTTCTTAGCAAAGTACCAGGTTTTTTATTATTATTATTCACATCGCAACCCATGGCAACCTTATTGTAGTTTAGATGTCATTTCAGTTTATTTGGTTTATTTTTCAATATTTTTATTATTTTGGTTTTAGTATTTTAGGACTTCCAAAGATAATGTGCTAACTGGTATAGTTTTAGAAAAATTGTGACTTTCCCTGCTCCCCCTAGCGTTCCCAGGCAGAAAACCGTACTTGCAATCATGCTTACAACATGGGGACTAACATCCCGGGGTGTTGTGCCAAATTTCGACCCCCGCCAAATTATTACCCCCCCCTATTATTGGTAGGTTTAGGATTAGTTGTGGGGTGGGGGAGGGGGGAGAATTAGGATCAGGGTTGGGATTAAGCAATCAGGTACTGACTTCAACGAAGGGGTAATAATTTAGCATGGGGTCGAAATTAGGCACAACACCTGTTAATTGGAAATAGGAAGTCTCAAGAGAAGTGAGAACGAGCGAGAAACACGAATTGCTTTATGACATCTGAACATAATTCTATGATACTGTGTATGATGTATTACCAACACTATCTCACGACCCATTCGTACAAATTTGACGCATGATTAAAAAGTGTCTAACTCGTACTAATTCGTACGATTTGTCTAAACCCACTTGATGGTTAGGTTTAGGGGCGGGGTAAGGGGTAGGTCATTCGTACGAATTCATGCGAATTGGCCAATTCGTAAAATATGTACGATTTAGCAAAATCGTATTAATTCGTACGAGTGAGGTCGTATGAATTGTTACGAATTAGCCACTTTTTAATCATTCGTCGAATTCGTACGACTTGGTCGTGAGATCGGGTTGGTATTACCCACCTCGGTAGACATAGCTCACACAATTAAGTTGGCTGGCTCCGATAATACCAAAAGCACATGAGCAGCGGTAGTTTTTTTTTTTTATGACAGTCAGTGTTGTGAAATATACACCGCACAACTGTTGGGGGAGCTCGATGAGAAAACATGGACAGCAAAAAGTGAAAATCAGCGAAGAAATAAGTTCCCCTTTCAACATATTTAATGATTGCCGGTTTGCATATTTCACTGTTTAATTCATTTTGAGAAATACTGAATCTGTTTTTGTGCAAGTGCAAATGGATGTTCAAATTAAGTCAAGAAAAGGGGTGTACCTGTTCCTGGAAGGTCACTAACCCTAATTTAAATACCTGATCAAGGCCTTCAGGATTACCAAAAACATCCAGGTCAGTGTGAATCTGCTGGATGTTGGCACACCAGGTGCAGGTTTGGATACCCCTGGTATAGAACTAAAATCATGTTCACACAGAGCATTCAACACCTCTGCACTTTACTCACGATTTATATCAACTAGGGAACAGGAGAGCTGTCAGTCAATAAATGGGAAACCAAAGTAACTTGCATTACTTATTTGAAAAAGTCACTCCGATATTTGGTTATAAATGTAAAAGTAATGGATTACTTCACTCGTTATTGAAAAAGTAATCTGATTATTAAAAGTCACATTACATGTCACATTTACCCCAAGACTGTTAACCGAAGTAGTGACAGATCTTTTCTCTGAGTGTTGATGGATAAAGGCAGATTGAGCTTGCAAGTTTTAAACGTAGCTACTACATGATTGGTAAAGTCCTGCATGTGTCATCAGAGGAAAGTCTGTAATTTCTCCAGACAATCCAGTTATGACTAAAAATTTTGAATTAAAAAAAGATGAAGAAAATAATTTGCATGAATAAATCGTTCACAACTTGATAACATGCATTTAGAAAAAAAAAGATGTTAATTTCATGCCAGCTTTAACAATGATTATACTGACCCGAGGCATATCTGTTCAATCTTTTCCCAGTGATTGTGGTGCTGTTCTCAGCTTTAAAGAAGCAGAGGAGGAAGGAACCGCTGATCATCTCCAAAGAGGACGTCAGGGATAACGTAGTCAGCTACAACGACGAGGGGGGCGGCGAGGAGGACACGCAAGCCTTTGACATCGGCACACTGCGCCACCCGGAGGTTATGGAAAGCAACAAGCTGCGGCGCGACATCATCCCTGAGATGCTGTTTCCCTATCACAGATCTTCACCCATGAAGGAGTGTGCGGATGTTAGAGACTTCATTATTAGCAGACTGCAGGACAACGACACAGACCCTTTCGCACCTCCATATGACTCTCTCGCCACTTATGCTTATGAGGGCAATGGATCAATCGCTGAGTCATTGAGCTCTCTGGAGTCCTCTGTGACTGAGGGAGACCATGAATATGATTACCTCTCTAACTGGGGGCCGCAGTTTAAAAAACTTGCTGACATGTACATTGGAAAGGATACGACAGTTGCCAATTAGCCTAGGCTACCATTCAATGACTTTCATATTCTCTGTATGTACGCTCGGATTGCACTCTGGGCTGTGAGGCATAACTTGAAAGAAGAACTTGAATAACAAAAAAGAATTCTTCACACATGAAATCTTTTTTTTTCTTTTTTTTTACCAACACAAGCGGAATTTCACTTTTATGATGGATTTTTTTTTTTTTTTTTTTTTTTTTGTGGACAGTGTTGTGGTAAGGTGATTTTGTGTTTAAAAGAGAAGTGATGGTGATTTTGTTTTTCATTCACTGTTGCAGAAAAAAAAAAAAACTTGACAGAGGAGCAAAATGAATTAATGAGTTTGTGACTTTAAAAACATGGACAGTGACAAGACTGCCTTCGTCTTATGACAGATTGTAAAGGACCCTTCCCTGTTCCTCTACGGCCCTGTCCCAAATGGAATCACACGTTTATGACGTAATGCCTCTTTGACTCCTTGACTGTTGAGTAGACGTCTGCTGTGGAGCTTGCTTTAGTTTAGTGAGGCTTCCGCAAAAGTTTGCATCATGAGCACATATCAGCCGCAAAGGGACCCTTCTGAAACCTAAAATGACAAATGGGACACCCTACCGCCTTTTGGACTTAACGGACGTGTTTGCGGCAGCCGTTGTGTCCACGAGACCGCAAATGCACATGAAGTGTGCCATTTGGGACGGGGCAATCCTTTGACGATGCTGGCGTAACTAGGAATTCAGCATCACAAATCACGCTGTGCTACAATGGCATTTTTCATGGTTCCATGACATCATGTGAAAATTAAGTGGGTGTATTTAAGTTCTATAAAGTCAGTCTTCAGAATTTATGTCTGCCATACATGTTTTTAACAACCTAAGGGTGAGTAAATGATGACAGAATGTTAATTTTTGGGTGAACTGTTTTTTTTTTTTTTTACAGGATTTTACATAGAGGGATTTCAGTTATATTGGCTACAATTGAATGTGAGTGGAGAAATGTTTCTTCACAGATTTGGCCTCTCTACACATCTTGTGAAGTGCTCCCTTGTTGAAACATAATTGCAGCATTATCATTACAGCACTGAAAGCTTACCGAGGAACGTGGGACTATTTCTACATATCTTTGAAACGTTGTTCAATTCAACTACATTTGTTTGTGTGAAGTTTGCTTAATTTGCAAAACTGCAGATTACGCTAAAATCAAATAGAAGTGTCACAAAGAATTCTGCAGCACTCTGAGCTTGTGTGAATGAAAATTGTCAAAGTGTTTTATATCCACATTTTTTAAGTATATATTTTAATAAAAAATATGAATGGACTTCTGGTCGCCTAAGTCGCCTGGTCTCTATCTCTCACAAAAGCCAAGAACTGAAGGTTTACAGATAATAGAGGATTGCTGGGAAATAGAAAACCAGTCACATTTTGAGCTTATTTGTTCATGTTTAGAGTTTCTTTTTTATTACCTCTTTTTCTGTTTCGTTCATGTGTTTCGTGGTTAATCTATCTGGTTTAGTCTTCCTCCATCCCCTGCCTGTTTGTCTATACTTGGTTATACAGATTTGAGTCCTTAGTTCAGGTGTCTAGTTATGTAGTTTCTTCCTTTGTTTTCAGAGTATTTAAGCCCTGTGTTTAGTCCTGTCTAGTTGTCTGTCATCGGCGCTGTTTACCGGTTGTTCTGTCCTTGTTTTTTGGTATTTCTGAGAAGCCTTAGTATTTCTGTTAGTTTGATTTTGTTTTCAATAAAGACTGCTACACTAAGATCCAGTTTCACCCTTCCTTGCTACCGGGAGTGACACAACCAGGGCTGACTTTTGGAGACCTTCTGAAAAATTGTTTCCATTTTGGACTGCCAAAGACTGCAATTCTGTCTTAAACTGGATCTTAGTTGTGAGAATTAATTTTAATTTCCCCAGTGGAAATTTTCCGCATTGTCCAGAGCAATTACTGTATGCATTGTTCGATGCAGAATTTTTGCAAATGTTTAATGCCAGATGCTGCTGTTGTATATTAATTCCTTTGTGTTGTCAACTATGGTTTCACAAAGGCTTTTGTTCTGTCTACAGCCAACTTGGAACACAGTAAGATCTCTCTTTAGAAAATATTATTTTTATATTATTTGTGATGGTTTATCATAGAAAGTAACGGCATGCACAGTGTCGTTCTGTTTCAATAATAAGACTTTGTTTTGAGGTAGAATTATGCATACTTTAAATAATTAAATTGCTGCAAGGAGTTAGATTTACTTTCTGGGATATCCAGAAATAAGGTGTGCAAAAATAATACAAAGAACTTTGCACATCTACCGTTTGCATTTTTTTTTTTTAATTTTTTTTTTTAAAGCCGGTTGCACATCAGAAGAGAAGAGCCACAACATTCTGCGGCTAATTAAAAGTCTCTCAAATACTGTACACAGAAACTAGCTTAATTTTTGTGATAAAAATAAGGTCTATCTTACAGAGAAAACTGAATTTAAAACCAGAATATAGGCTACTATATTGAAACAATAAAGTAAGAAAAAAAAAAAAAAAAAAAAAAGTTTTTCGTGGGTTGTCAACACTTATGTTTTTGGTTATTGGACAATATATACATTAAATTTAAATGATTCAAACTTTAAATAATTAAAAAAAAAATAATAATAATCATACAGAATTGTATAAGTGCTATAAAATTTGATAAGTCCTTGAGTCCTAGAAATGCCGTCCTGAAATTGCAGTCTCCGGTTTGCTTGATCAAGCTTTTTTCTTTCTTATAGTCTCTAGTCAAAAATACACAAGAGGTCATGGTGATGGAACACCACAGAAATCAGTCCAAGCCACTTATCCAGGATTTGAACCTATTGCCTAAGGTTACCATGTCTATGGTACCATGAAGGAGTCTGAAGCAGTGTTCACATTGACATCAATCTGCAGTGACAAAGCGACCAGACATTATTAACTTTCAATGAGTCCTGATGGTTTCTAGCAGCATAAGCATCAGAGACAGGATGGTGCCGTGTCCAACAATATAACAAAGGAGATATAAGATTAACTTTATTCAAATAAGCTTTTACTCAATGCAGCGAAAACCAACAGGAATGAAGACAGCATAGCATTCCAGTGATCCATCTTTTGTGAGACATCATATAGTGTCAGCAAGATGAAGATAATGTTACAGTGAGTGATTTCACTGTTCTATATGATTTGTTTCTACCCGCATACAGAATATAATAACACCATGGAAAACAGAGTCAGAAATTGTTGTCATTCCATGATGGAGTTTGATTCGTGAAATCTTGTTCATTATATGATGTATTATGCATCACTGCAATTTTTGTGCAGTTGTTCTGCAAAATGCTTTTTTCTGAATAATGTCCATTTTAAGCAGAAAAAAAAGCTGATTCACTGTCAAAATCAGAGCTGGGGGCATTGCATTACGAGTAATGTGACTCCTTTTTCAAATAAGTAGCCCAAGTTACTTTGTATTCCCATATATATCTCTCCTGTCCCCATGCTGAGAAATCGGAAGTAAGGTGCAGAGGTGTTGTGTGCACATGAGGTGAGGTGTCTCACATTATGCAAACCTGCAATAATTAACCTAACATTATAATGTTTTTGCTGCTGATGCTCAATGATACAATTCAATGATCCTAATAAGCAAAAATAACTTTAGATGAACATCACATTTGTTTTTAATTTTATTTGTTTATATTGCTCAAGAAACAAGATACTCGCATTCTATGATTCAATCTGTAAATTTGGCCGATCTTATGAACCAATCCCAATATGATTATGACACATGATGACATCAAAACTTTAGTGCCACAGTCATTTGTCATGTTCTAAAGAAATATCACATGGAGGAATATTAGCTAAATGATTTAAGAGGAGTAAACTTTAAAATTAAAATTATACCCATAATGTGTTCACCCTCAAGGTATCCTAGGTCTATATGACTTTCTTCTTTCAGACAAATACAACCAGAGTTATATTAATAAACAACCTGATGCTTCTGAGCCTTAAAGGGTTAGTTCACCAAAAAAATGAAAATGATGTCATTAATGACTCACCCTCATGTCGTTCCAAACCCATAAGACCTCAGTTAATCTTCGAAACACCGTTTAAGAAATTTTAGTTTTAGTCTGAGAGTTTTCTGTCCCTCCATTGAAAATATATACACGGTCCTTGTCCAGAAAGGTTAGACAAACATCATCAAAGTCGTACATGTGACATCACTGGGTTAGTTAGAATGTTTTGAAGCATTGAAAATACTTTTACATGGTACAAAAATAACAAAAATTGCAACTTTCAGCATTGTATTCTCTTCCGGTTCTGTTGTCGAACTGTGTGATGCTGATGACGTAAGACGCTACTGACGTGTATCTGGTGTGTAATTTCCTTTCTGGGATGTGCTTTCCTTTCTCCAGCTGAGCTTTGGGAGTGGCCTGTCAGACTCCACACTGAAAGTGTACATGGTTGCAAAAGCGTCTAACCATGACATGGTGGGTGGCAGGTCCTTGAAGAAGCACTACCTGATCATTAGGTTCCTGAGAGGCGGAATCCTCCAGGACCTCACCTCATACCCTCTTAGGATCTTTATTTTAGACTTACAGGCCTTACAGAAAGATCCATTTGATCCTTAACAATTAGGCCCCGTCCACACTACTGCGTTTTCGTTTAAAAACGGAGAATTAAAACGAATACGATCTCCGTCCACACCAGCGTTTTATCTGCGTATTAGAAACGATCTCCGTCCACATTAAAACGACTGAAAACGCGGATCACGTGACCATTCACCAACACTGGGCATGCGCGCGCCAGTGTAAACAGTGAATGCCGAATCAGGGAAGGATACGTCATGACGGATAACACCCAATCACAGAGCCAAGCGTCAGCCTCTGCGTCAGCGTTTCTGAAGTTCTCCGTTTTGTCTCGTCCACACTAAAATGCCCTCCGGATATTCAAAACGCAAAATGCAGCTGCAGCGTTTCTAAACTTCTCCGTTTTAGGTCTTCGTTTTTCCCATTTTAGTGTGGACGGAAGGTGCAAACGTAGCAAAAGGTCTCCGTTTTTAAACGAAAACGCAGTAGTGTGGACAGGGCCTTAGTTAAGCTTAGTGCCCTCTCTATGAAGACAGCCCTCCTAATTGCGCTCACCTCCATCAAGAGGGTGGGGGACTTAGGGTAGGGGGGAATTAGGGCCGACAGACTCTCACATTGTCCTGAGACTCCAGCCTGAATATGTGCCGGAAGTTCCCACTTACTCCCTTCAGGGACCAAGCATACACAGAGCTTCAGGTGATTTGGAGGTCAGCAGAAGGGAAGGCTTTCTCCAAACAAATAATGGCTAACCGGATTGTGGATGCCATTCTTATCAAGCACAAGGTGTACCGTGCCCATTGGGAGTGAGCGCTCACTCCACTAGGGGTATCGCAGCCAAATCGGCTCTGGCGAACTTCATTAGCAGACATATAAAGCTACGGGTTGGGCTACACCCAACACTTTTGCAAGATTGTTTAATCTCTACATAATAACAGGTAAATCTTAGGCAATCTGGTTGTGTGTAGTGCTTGCATTGGTGCCTTTCTGTCACAGTGTCTGGTTGTGTTTCTCTGGGTTGTCACTAGAGGTCCTCGTTCTCGCGGTGTCTTTCACATTTGACTTCATTTCCCAGCATTCTGTTTTTCACTCATCAGTTCATTGTACTCAGCTGTTTCCCATCACATTTTTAGATCTGTGTGTATATATTCCCTGTCTGTGTCAGTATTTGTTACAGGGTTGTCTTCAGGGTCTGTTTTCAAGCTTGTTTGTGGTTTTGTTTTGGGTATTGATATGATATGATATGATATGATATGATATGATATGATATGATATGATATGATATGATGTGATATGATATGATGTGATAGCATAGCTGTATTTGCTTGAAACGGCCTGGCATACAAATTTCACACACCAATTCCATTGGCCTATTCTATTTTGGCTCCCAAGTGCAAGCTCAGTAGTCTGTCTCATTCTACACAACATCTCGTTCCTTCCATCAGGGAACGAAGCAGCAACGTTTAAGGCTCTTTAATAAGCCAAAGTATCCTAATATTGATAGTGTTTTGTGTAAGCTCTGTTTTTAAAGGCCTATCAAAATGTTCACTGTAAAATGGATGCCGGTATTTGTTGTGCTTGTTTATTCGTAATTAAAACAACGATTACAACATTACTGTAAATAATATAACCAGGAACAATCTGTGGTATTACTTAATCTGGAAAAAAGTTAACAGTGACAGTCAAAAGAGAGCTTGCACATCACTTATATAAAGCTTGAATGATCGGTAACAGCTGATAATC